TGCTAGACCCTGCCCTCCAGGGCCACTGTCTGCGTATTTCTTTTAGACGGATAGCCTAGTTTTCTGACAGATGCTTTTCTGTCCGTCCTCCTGAGCTGACAGGAGGGATAGCAGTTTAAGCCCTTGGCATGAGAAGTTTGAAGAAGTGGCTTATCTCTGAAAGAAAAAGTCTTGGTTTTTAAAGATCCCTTTTGCCTTTGGTTACAAGGATACTGTGTTAGATAAACCTTTAATTGATTTTTTTTTTAAAAAAAAGGCTATGGGCCATACCTTGCCACCCCTCAGCATTAAAAAATAAAAGCATTAGTGATCATACTGGTAATTTGAAAAGAGCTAGCTTTTGTTTTATGGCTTTCCCTTTTCCTTTTTTTTTTTTTTTTTACTAAGTATTTTATTATATGTTGGCACTAGTGTATATAAAATACCCTCATGAAATAGAAATTCATGAAAATCCAGGGGTAGATGTTAAGGACTGACAAAAGTAGAAGTTTGTATGTTAGGGCACATGTTAAGAAAGGCGAAATTTTTGTACAGGCTTCAGTTTTCTTTTTTCTGAATAGTCACTGGTTGGTTAAAAGTGGTCTTGGAGGACGGGGAGATGGCTCAGTAGAATAAGCGCTTCCCTGGCAAGCGTACGGGTCTGAGTTCAATCCCTGGTTCCGCAAAAAAAAAAAAAAGTGGTCTCGGAAACTCTTAAGAATTCATTTGAGGGGCTGGTGAGATGGCTCAGTGGTCTAAAGCACCTACTTAGAACAAGTTTAACAAACACAGGGACCAGGGTTCAATCCCCCAGCACCACATGCCAGACAGCCCCGCCCCCTGGTGGGCTGAGCTGGCCACACACACACACACACAAGTAAATAAAATTTTTAAAAACAAATTTAAAAAAAAATTCATTTGACTACAAAAAGGAACAGATTTTCTGCAGTCTGAAGGGATTTGTACTTTAGGATACTCCAGTCGGCAAAGGATCATGCTGAGCATTCTGCAGGCAGAACTGTTTTAAGTCTACGGCTGCCTGGGAAACCTTCCTGCGGTTGAGCCCGGCCTCCAGCCGGAGCTGCTGAACCACTGTCTTCATGGCGGCAACACTGGAAGAGCCAGACATAGTACACCCGAGGGCGGGGCCAACACGAAGGCCAGGGGCAGCCCCTTTGCCTTTTTTGTTTTCTATTTTACTAATTTCTGCTCAGAGTTTTCTCCTTTCTTCTGCTTACTTAGGTTTAATTCATTCTTTTTTCTTTTTTTTTTTAATTTTATTTATGTGTGTGTGTGTGTGTGTGTGTGTGTGTGTGGCCAGCTCAGCCCACCAGGGGGCGGGGCTGGCTGGCATGTGGTGCTGGGGGATTGAACCGCGGTCCCTGTGCTTTGCTAAGCTTGTTCTAAGTAGGTGCTTTAGACCACTGAGCCATCTCTCCAGCCCGTTTAATTCATTCTTTTCATAGTTTCTTAGAGCTGTGGGTAAGACCATTGATTGGGAACATGATAATGGTAATTGAGGCGCTTAGTGCTATAAATCTATCCATAAGTACTGCTTCTGCGGTACCCTACTTTTTTTGAGATAACTGTAGATTCATATGCAGCTAAGAAATGCATAGAAATCTCACGTGCCTGACGTAGCTTCTCTCAGTGGTCCTGTTGTAAATCTGTAGTACAGTATCACAACCAGAATATTGGCAATAATATAGTCAACACACAGAGTACTTCTGGTACCAAAAAGAGTTCTCATGCTGCCCTTTCTCACCCACTTCCTTCCCACCTGCTCCCGGGCCTCTCCCTACCTCCCTTTTCCATCTTTTCAAATGATATTATAAAACAGAAGTTTTGAAGGTTTATCCCATTCTCCGACCATACCACAAGCACAGACAGTACCAGGAAGCCAGGTCCTGAGCAGGGGCCAGTCCCTCCCTCCCTTGGGACACAGAGGCTATGCAGGAGTCTAGGCAGGGCTCACTGAGAGGTGGGAACCAGACTCACACCTTCCAGCAAGAAAACTGCTCTGGGTGCAAATTTGCTCCGGTTTTATGCACAGCAGTGACTCCTGGGTCTGGGAATGAATGATTGCAAGGAGGCCTGTCATGACACTTACTCAGAGGTTACTTTGGAGCTGTGGAGGTCTTCCTGTCCTTCAGGGATCAGTGCTCCCTGAGGGCTTCATTCCCCTCAGAAACTCACAAAAGGTAAGTTCCTAGGAAAGCAGAGTCTCTGTGGGGAGCCTCCTGTCCTGATGTACTGGGTGTGGCTGTGGCAGCCAGGACCAGCTGGGCCTTGCTCTGCAGCTGATGGCCCACGGCCAGGGGTCAGCAGGAATTCATGCCCACTGCCACCCTGAGACGTCACCATGGACCGCTTTAGACGTGGATCGCTTCAAGTCTGAGACCTAAGAGATGATTACGAATGTATTATATGCTGAAGTCTGTTTCTTAGTAGGCCACGCATGGTGTTTTGGATTCTTGCCTTTTTTGTATCTCAGGCCCACTAATGCCTTAATTACTTGTCTAACATATATTTTAGCAAGGCCAACTGTTACATACAAGGGGATTGCTGTGAGTTCAAGGCCAGCCTGGGCTACATAATGAGTTGAAGGCAGCCTGAACTACATAGACCCTGTCTCAGAAAAAAATATTGCTGCAGTGTACGTCCTTGAACATAAGATACTTTGCCTATGTTCAAGCATTTTTGGATTGATTCCTAGAAGTAGAATTATTAAATCGTCCTCCATAGACATTGCTTGGACTTGTTTCCACCAACATTAGTAGGACTGCCGTTTCCTTCCCATATATTCATTCACCCACTCATTTTTTAAAATTTGTGTCTATCTGCTCATTTTTGCAAGTGACTTTTAATACAGTGCCCTTCAGGGTGTAATTAAGCATCTTTTACCATGTTTAAAAATCATTTAGATTTTTTTCTATGAACTTCCTGTCTTTTGTGTATTTTAATTCTGGGATTTCAGTTGTCTTCACAGGGAACTCTTCCTATGTGAAACATAATAGAGGTTGTCATATCGCCTGTGTTTCATTTGTCTTGGTTTAGAAGCTCTTCGCCTTACAGAAAACCTTTATGGGTTTTTAATCTATCCATTTCCTAATATCTGACTTAGGAGTCATGTTTTGAAAAAGCTTTCTGTATTTCAGGATTAAATTTTTCTTCTCTTATGTTAAAATTTTTATCAAATTAAAATTTTTATCTTGGGAGAGAATGTAGGAACAGTATAACCCTTTTCTCTGTTTGACAAGTGGCTGCCTTCAGGGTCACAGTTAGAACTTTTCTGGGGGCTGGAGAGATAGCTCAGTAGAATAAGTGCTTGCCTGGCAAGCACAAGGGCCTAAATTCAATCCCTGCTTCTGCAAAAAAAAAAAAAAAAAACACCTTTTCTGCTCTCCACAATGCACTTGTTTCTACTTTGCAAATTTACTTGTGTCACATTCAAAATCTGTTTTTTACATGTATATCGTTAAGGAATTTAAATATTTTGATATATGATGAATTAGGACCATACTTTCCAAGTAAATAGCTGGGTCTTCCACCATTTATTAATTTTCTCACAAATTTAAAGTGTTATTTTTAATATCTTAATTTTTATATATGTAATGGTTACTTCTCTTGTTCTGTTGATAGCTCACTTTATGTACCAGTAATATATTGCCAGTTATCTGAGTGATAAAAATACTAGTAAGTTTGTTTTAAAAGACACTGAAATATATGAACCTAAAATATTTTTCTTTCATATATTCTAATTGTGCTTGAAAAATCATATTTTAAAACAGTGTCTTAAATGTGTGAATCAGTTTGGACAGAAATAACATCTTTACCTTTATCCAAGAACATGATCTGTCTTGCTATTTGGTGCCGATTTGTGTGAAAGAGGGTACAGGGAATGGAATTCAGAGCCTCTTGCATACTAAATATGCTCTACCATGGAGCGACAGCCAACCTCCTTAGTATTTGTTAATATTTCACGTCATTGATTTTTTTTTGGTAAGTATCTAAGCATTCTAATATATTGGAAAATATAAGAATACTTTTTCTTCTTGGTACTGGGGATTAAACCCAGTGTCTCACGCACACTGAGTAAGCATTCTCCCACTGAGCTACAGCCCTAGCCCTGCTATGGGCTTTTTAAGTGACTGACAAGATACAAACCAGTAGCATATTAAGTGGTTATCTCTGACTGGTAGAGTGACAGGTGACTTGGGGATTTGTTTTCTTGAAGCTTGATTTCGAAAGTTTAATATTTGAGCATCTGTGACTTTTTCTTTCTCCGTTTATACACACATGTGCACCTCTGAGCACTAGTGAATGAAGCCAAACCTCCCACATACTAAGCACACACCTGCCACTGCGTGGCCCTCCCACGCCTCTTATGAACCTATAATTTCCCAAAAGCTGCTTCTAAAGTTTTAACTCTAGTTGTATTTAAAATGGATTTCAGGGCTGGAGAGATGGCTCAGTGGTCTAAAGCACCTACTTAGAACAAGTTCAGCGAAGCACAGGGACTGCGGTTCAATCCCCCAGCACCACATGCCAGCCAGCCCGCCCCCTGGTGGGCTGAGCTGGCCACACACACCTCTCTCTCTCTCTCTCTCTCTCTCTCTCTCTCTCTCCTAAAATAAATAAATAAATAAATAAATAAATAAAATGGATTTCAGTAGTTCATTAGAAGAATATTTTATGTTCATAAATGCCACCTAAATTTGAAAACAACTCCCAAGATTTTTTCCCAAAAAACCACAATTTTAACTGCCCCTTGAAATAGTAGCTTATGTAGTCAAAAGATAAGAAAAACTGGAAAACGCATTAATTTACATTAATTTTTCCCTTCCACAATGGAAATTTTGTAAGTCAGTACTTGGTATTTTAATTAGTATAGTAATTTTATAATTAGCCATAATCTAATTGCTTAATTAACATTTAAAATATTCTAAAAATCTGCCAAGGCTTATATAGTTCAATAAGTCATATAGTCACTCTAATCCCTCACTGTTGTCTCTTCACAGTGTGGAGTTTCTAGCAAGATGACTGTTAAAGAAGACAAAGAAAATATTTATGAAGTTTGCGAAAGGTCTGTAACATTATTTCCGGTTACACACCTTCACAGTAGTCATTCATCTAATATGTTAGATGTCCCTAGATATAAAGGATATTACTTTATGGCAGTCTGTAAGTTTTTCGAGTGACCAGTGTATTTTTTTGAGGAAATGTAAGAAGTGGTGTAAAAGGAAAGAACACGTGTGACTTTAATAAATGTTGAATTTTGCAAGTATTTTACATGGATGCAGCCAAGAGTTGAGAGCATAGTCACTAGAATATAGAAAACTGCCACAGTAGTCAGAAGACTCGAGGACCTCCTGACCCATCCTTGCCCCTCACTTTGCTGTTGAGCCGACGTGCACCTGTGCTGGATGCAGAGCCCTGTGGGGTTTCTTTCCAGGTCTTGGCGTCCTGACAGTGACTTGGTCCAGAGACTGAAAAGGAGGAAAAGTGTACATTTATTGAAGGTTGAAAAGAACTATGTCCCTCAGAGTGATTTCTGGCTGGCCAACAGGCTGTAACGATCTCAGGAGTAGGCTCCCTAGGGTAAGGGAGAGGGCTCTTCTGTGTCAGAATTCCTGGACTACCTCTCTGACGCCAGCAGGCATCAGGGCAGTCATCCTGGCACCCACTGATTTGATAGCACAGCGTGTGTACACCGTCCTGTAGGAAAGTGCTGGCCGCCCTACACGTGTAAATGAAGGATTGAAAATAACATCTTCTGATTGGTGCTGTGAATGGCACCAGATTGAAACAAAGGATTGAAAAATAGCACTCTTCTGATTGGTTCTGTGTACTATGGTGATGGCCATCTCTGGGAGTGTCCTCACACTGGGAGGGTCCCTCGCCCTGTTGTCATTGTCTTACAGCCAGGCCAAGGGATGGTTATATCCAAGTCCGCTGTGTTCAGTCAGTGGATTTCAAAGGCTGATCCTCAGGTAGCATCATACAAGATCTTGAAGGTGTTAGATGCAAAACTAGAAGAGGCGTGCTGATCTGTGCTCATGACTTCATCTTGGTACCTGCTCAGGTTTGAGGGCTGTTAAGGGAGAGGATAGGTAAAAATTAGATTGACGTCCAAGTCTAAAATGGTTTACTACCATTTGGAAATGTAATTAAGCAAAATGTTTGTTTTTCTAATGAAAATACTTGACCCTCAAATTAAAACAGTATTATCACAGCCCTAAAAATGTTAGCGCTTGGCTGTACATGGTTATCACATCACTGGTGTGACATGAGTTAGGTCACTGTATCTCCTTGGGCCTCAGTCATCCAATCAAAAAAGAATTGTCTTCATAATCTCTTTCATCTGTAAAAATCCATAATCCCTCCTTTTTGTTTTACATTATTGCTTTTGTTTTTGTTTTTTTAATTTAGGACAGGGTCTATAGGATATATAGGGTCTCACTACGTAGATTGGACTTGTATTGATTCTCCAGTTTTCAGCTTCCCAAGCCCTGTGATTACAGGCACGTGCCACCATGCCCAGTCTCAATCCCTGTCTCAGTGAGCCCTGGGGCAGGGCCGGCACAGCACACCAGGGATCAAACCCCGGCTGCTGCCTACGCAGGCGCTTTAGTCCACTGAGCTATCTGGCAAGCCCTATTGATTTTGTGTTATGCAGCAGGACACAGTGGCTACACATCAGTAATATCCAAAGTTCAAAAAAGAAATGTTATCTTCTGGGAAATTTTAAAATTACATCAGTGGTATTAAATTCAACTAAATATAAACTCTGCTTCTTACTGTTTTTCCTCTGGCCCAGAAAACTCCACGAAAATTTATTGTAATTGTTTTTAAGTTTAAAAAAGTATAGTATCTGAGTTTTGGGTAAGTCTCTTAAAATGTAAACTCATCCCTATCTACTAGTCTGCCTGGCTTAGGTAATTTATTTTTCTAGATAAGTAACGTCCAGTTTAATTTTTCATAAAATTGATTGCTAAGGATGTCACATACTTGGGTATGGTTATAGCTGTGTAAATTAACAATTTTGAAACAATAGCATTTTCAATTCCTTCTCTCCTTAGAAGAATGTAAGAGACTTATAATATACATTAATCCTTCAATTTATATAGCGATCTCCTTTATGCTTGGGTTCATTCCAAGGCTGCGGGAATATATGAAGCTACAGCTGGCGTGAAACTCTAGACAGAGTGTGAATTTTCATATACATACATACCTGTAATAAAGTTCAGTTTGTTACAAGGTCAGGAAGGGATTCACCAGTCAATAGTACAATGATCCTAACAATAGCCTGCAATAAACTGTGTAAATGAGAACAGTTTCTGCCTATACTTAGCTTCTTGTGATGAGGTGAGTGGTACGGGTCCCTCACACAGAGATGGGGGGGTGCATCCTTAGGCATTGTGATGTGCAGTGGCCTCATGGAGAATCACTTGGGTACAAGTGGTGAAAACCTGAGACAGCTGGCCCAACATGTAGGTGACTACTAAAAGCCTAACAGGCAGGTAGCATGGATTCACAGGACAAAAGGGGGGGTTCCCTTCCCAGTCAGGACAAGATGAGACTTCATCATATTACTTAGAAATAACATGTGTTTAAAACATTATTTCTAGGGTTCCCCCATTTAATACTTTTGGACCACAGTTGACTGAAACCAGAGAAGTAAAACCATTGGTAAAAGAAGAGTAATGTAATTTACTGTCAGTGATTGGATGTCCTTTTCTGAATTAGACCAGCCTAGACCCTTCTCAAACCTTTTGTCTGGTATGATGAGAAAAAAAAAAAAATGTGCATGTAGCCCAGCTACATTGGGAGGCTGAGATGGGAAGGCTGTTCGAGCCCCAGAGTTCAAGGGCCTGAGTAGTATAAGAGCCTGTCTTAGTTTTTATTCTAGTTTTAAGCATACCACCCCATTCTTGACCCTGCCCCCAACAATGTAACAAGTACTGGTGTTGTATTAAAGCAGGAATATTCTATTGGAAATAGTAAAGTATCATATGGTATATAAAATACATAGTATTAGATTGCGTTTTTACTTGATTCTCACTACTTTAGTATTTTAAAAGTAAATTTAAGTTCTGATTTTGGTTTTTCTGCTTATACAGCAAAGATTCTAGAAATGGAGAGATTATGGCTGGTGAATGTCAGTTAGCGACACTGAGCCCCAAACCTCTGCACTTGCCAGTGCTCCCTTTGAACCTAAGTGGCCGTCAAGAGGGTGTAATACCAAAGCCCCGGATGAATGGTAACATCTGTTTTCTTAATACAGTCCTGTCGGCTTTGGGCAGTTTACAAACTATGTAGAAGATACTTCCATCAGAAATAAGTATAAAGAGAAATAGAAACAAGTATAAATAAGTATGGCCTACATCAAAATTATTTCTAATATTTTTGATGGGACAGTTTCGGAAATATCTTTATGTGATAGTGGCACACATAAATTACAGCAAATGCCTAAAATATATTTCAATATATGTTCAGATATCTTAAGATTTATGTCAGGTTTTCTTTAATGGTCCATAATGCTGTGGACAAAATAAATTCCATTGAAGAATGAGTTTAGAAACTAGATAATCGATGTGTATTACATGTGCTTGACTCTGCTGTACCTTTGCAGTGCTGACTTCCTGCTGCCCGGCATTCTGAGCAAGCTCACAATAGTCATGTGTTTTCTCTCAGGCCTTAACAATTTTGACAGTGCTAGTGACTGCAAAACTGTGCAGCAAAAATTCAGATAGTTCCGTTTTATATCTGGAAACTACTGAGGTCACAAATAAAATGACTTAGAACTAAAATATTTTATCTGTATAGCATAATATTTTAAAATGCCCTAGTTCTCAGAAAGACCATCATTAAGGAATGTAATAGCTGGCATATTAGCCAGCTTGACTGCCGCAACACCAGACTGTAGACTGGGTAGATTAACCCATAGAAATTGGTTTCACAGTTGTGAAGGCCAGAGGTCCAAGATCAAGATTCCAGCTGGACTCAGTTCTTGGTAAGGCCTCTGTTTCTGGCTTGCAGAAGGCTCCCTTCCTAAGTTCACATGTCTTTTCTTGGACACATGCAGGAGAGTGCTCTGGCATCTGTTCCTACAAGGACTCTCATCTATACGACTTCGTTTGACTTTAAGGCCTGACCTGTAAAGGCCCAATCTCCAAACACAGTCACACTGCAGGTTAGGGTGTTAGCATTCAGTCAGCAGGGAAACCTAGTCCAGTCCATAGCACCTGGGTTCTGTAGTGTCCTTCTGTTAGAAGGGGCACTGTTGTCTGTTGGAGGCGTATCATTGAATGCAGTGCTATGGTGCAAGACATTTAAGAAGGTTCTCTGCAGCTTACAGTGAAAATTTTAAATTTGGATCTCAAAATGCCCCATTGTATGATAACGCATGAGGCAGGACAGACTGTAAAGGGAACATGAATATTCCAGAGTGAAACTTCAAAGCAGCTGGTAGTGACCATTGTTCTGAAGGGAATGAGGATAACACACTGCTGTAAAATGCCATTCTTATCATGTCTAGATGTGAGATTTCCTGGAAAACCTTCTGTCGTAAAACTGCAGAATCCTGAAGCTTGTGAAACATTTAAAAGGGAAAGAAATTCAGAGGTAAGAAAAATGCTTTTCTAAATTATAACACATACATTGGACCCCTTCTGTTTTTTATTCTTTCTCATCAATTTTGGGCAGTCCCAGCATACAGATTTTGAGTGAGGATTAATGGTAAAATGGGCTGGGAAGATAGCTTGGTGGCATAAGCACCTGCCCAGCAAGCGCAAGGTCCCGAGTTCAATCCCTGGTACTGAAAAAAAAAAAAAAGGCAAAAACAGAAAAGCAGTAACTTAGAAAATATATATAACATAAAAAGTTAAAAACAGGAGCAGGAGAACCCAAAACGAGAAAGACAGGGTCATGAAGGAGCAAGCTGGCGACAGAAGCCCTTTGTAGGAGGTGTTTGTGGCCTTCTCCGTTGCCTACCTGTTTGTATTAGAGAAGCCAAAAAGAATGTCGGTTCTGATAAGTGCATCAGAAATATGATGCAGGTTATCATCCAGTTAACTTTTTGTGGATGTGGAGGCAAAAGAGTGCACAGAGGTGCCTGGCCTTAGCTCAGTTATTTAAGTGGCTGCTTCCACAAAGCTGTCAGCCTCAGGATGCTGTAGTTCGATCCCCACAACACTCCAGCCTGCCACACCACCCCTGAGGGCATTCGGAGCAAAAAAAAAAAAAAAATGCACAGAAAGAGGGACAGTAGCACCGGGTGGAACGCCTCGGGCTGGGGCTGTTGCTGTGCTTCCCTCCCAAGTGTGCTGGGAACCTAGAGGTAAAGTTTTAAAACCTGTGAAATAAAATATTAACCTTGCTGGAATACTTTACACTAAGAAGATTAAGAAAAGTCGCAAACATCACTCCAAATTATTTAAAATGTAAATTTAAGGGACCAGGAACATTGCTGAGCAGCATATCACCTGCCTGGAAAGTATAAGGTCCCAAGTTTGATCCCCAGTACTGGGGAAAAAAAAAAAGAGGGCCAGGGAAATAGCTCAGTGGCGTATGGCCCTGACAGCAGGTGCGAGGTCCTGAGTTTGCTCTCCAGTGCAGAATAAAAAAAGGAAATTTGAGGGGGTTTATTTTTTCTTAGCTAATATTTGTAAGCTTTTTTTTGTGTGGGGGGGTGACCTTGTGTTTGCCTAAGTTTGCCTAAGCAGGTGTTTTACACCACTGAGCTATCTTGCAGGCCCTATGCAGTTTATATTGAAGTATTTCTGTTGTTTTCATGGTTAGAAGTGTAACTCAGCAGTAAAGCACAGACAATGTGTTTGAGTCCCAGCACCACAGAAAGTACATATATATTTTTTCTGTTTCCGATGCTTTCTCATGGACTGTATAAACACAGAAAGAGGGGGGCCTGCCCCTTATCTCAGTTCTTTAAGTGGCTGCTTCAACAAAGCAGTCAGGCTCAGGTTGCTGTGGTTTGATCCCCACCACTCAGCCAGCCAGCCAAATCTGCCCTGAAGGCATTCGGAGAAAAAAAACACACACACAGAAAGGTTTTTTTTTTCTAATTTTCTAGATGTCCCAGAAGCCACTGGGGCTGACGATCCCCCACAGATACTGCAAATTTCATTTTAACACCATCCGGGGCTGTGAGCGATCATTGTGCAAGTTTGGTCATGTACCTGAGCCAGGGGATGAAAAGGTAAATGGGAGGCTAAAGTGGGCTGGCTTCTTTTTGTTTCTGTTTATGTATTTGGTGCAGGATCTCACTACGAAGCTCAAACTCAAAGTGATCCTCCTATTTTCAGCCTCCCCAGCCCTGGGATTATAGGCGTGTGTCACCATGCCCAGTCTCAGTGGCTGGCTCAGTGTGTACGTGGATGGCGCCTGCATGGCATGTGGTGTCAGGGAATGAACCCAGGTCCCAGTGCTTGCCAGTCAGGCACTTAGTCTGCTGAGCCATCTCACCAGCCCATAAAATGGGCATAGTTTTTTTTATCAGGGTCTTGGCCTAATCTCAGTCTCCTGAAGAAGTGAAAGACAAATGGCTTAAATAAAAGAGAAGTGTGATTTTGGGAGGCCCTGGAAAAGCCAGAGCTTGCTCTCAGGTGTAAAAATTCTTTCGGAGTGAAGACAACTTCTCTTAAAAATCCAAATTATGATGCATGATTGAGATAAGAAAAAGAGACCAGGCTGTCGAAGGTTAAGCTGCTGAACACGCGGACCTCTGGCTCTGTTGGAAAAGCATTGACAGGGCTCTCTTAAAAATCCAAATTACAGACAACCCTTATTAATTCCACAGACTTGAGGGTGCAGGAAGAGAATACGAAAGCCCAAAGCTCACAAATTTGGAACAAAGGCAATAAATTCCACCAATTAAGAGAAGTGTCTGGCCACTAAGACTGGCAGCTATTGCTCTGGATTGGGTGTGTCAGCAGCCCGTGTCTTCTGCACCTCAGCATTGGTGTCATCCTGACTTCAGAGCCCTGTTAATGCTTTTCCAACAGAGCCAGAGGTCCGCGTGTTCAGCAGCTTAACCTTCGACAGCCTGGTCTCTTTTTCTTATCTCAATCATGCATCATAATTTGGATTTTTAGTTTCTTACAGCATGAATGAGCTGTGCCTATTGTGCTTTATACTAATGGAATTATTTTATATTCTTTTGTGTATGGCTTCCTTTTTATTTTTAGTTTGTTTTTTTAAGAAACAGAATCTTGGGCTGGCTAAATAGCTCAGCAGATTAAAGCACCTGCAAGCAAGTACAGTGCCCCAGGGGTTCAATCCCCTGGCCTGCTGTGCTGGCCCCACCCCCAGGGCGGGCACACTGAGATGGCGAATGAGACTGGGCATGGTGGCACGCACCTGTAATCCCAGCACTTGGAAGGCTGTAAACAGGAGAATCACTGTGAGTCCAATCTAGTAGTGAGACCCTGAACACTCTGTAGACCCTTCCTTAAAACACAGAAGAAAAACAAAAGAAACAGAATCTTGCTATGCTGGCCAGACTTGGCCTCAAACTCCTGGGCAGAGCCATCCTCCTACATCAGCCACCTGAGTATAGCACCCAGACCTATAAGTGCATGCCACAGTGTAGCTGCCTAAGTTTGCTTTATATTTTTCAGATAGGTCTGTTATTTGTTTAGTTATAGATTTTTTTCACTGCTATATAATAGTTAGTCGCCCATTGTGTGAGTATATCAAGATTTATTTTGTGGATAAATACTACTGTTGGCAGGTAGGTGGCTTCCAGAATTGGACACTACAACAGTGATGCTCTTGGCATTCTGCACAGTTTGCAAGAACAGATACACACATGCTCAGAGATAACACTTAGCACTGGAGATCCTGGTTATGGGGTCTGGGTATGTTCCATCTTAGTAGACACTTAGTAGATGAATAGGATTCCAGAGTGATTACACAGGCCACTGTCACCACAGTGTCTGAGTTCTGAGTGGGTTACATCCTTTCCACCTGGTGATGTGTTCAGCCCTTTAATTTTGGTCATCCTGTGACTGAGTAGGGATGTCTGTCAAAACTATACATTAGACATATGGATATATTCTTTTCAGAAATATCCAAATATTTTCCCTGTATCCTATGGAATTATCTCATACCAATGTACAGAAATTCCAGATAAGGTTTTTTGTTGAATATACATAATGCAAATTTTTTTACTACTTTATAAGTTGCCTTTTCATTCTAAGCTCTCAAGAATTTTTGTGCGGTGCAATTTGTCGTTTTCTTCTTATGATGTTGACTTTCTGTATCCTGTTGAGCCCACCTTTGTCAAGACCATGATGCACTCCTGGATTTT